GAGAAACCATGTGGGCGGGGCTGACTTAGGGGAAAACTGAGACTCAGAGCTGGCTGTGGACTACGGTGGTCACTTTGGTGAGAGAAACTCCCAACCTCACATGAGAGTTCATTGAAAAGTGTGCTAGAGAGGACCAGGCAAGCTGTATTGTTCCCTCTCTGGCCCCTCCCCCACAGGCAGCACAGCAGGTCAGCAAGGGGGATTGCCCTCCCCTGTTGAAAACATAAGGCCCTGCCCTCTTACAACTTAACATAAGCCCTGAAAAAAGAAATAGAGCCAAAATGAAAGAATAGAGCAAAACCTCAGAAAGAGAGTTAAGTGATAAGAATATAGCCAACCTATCTGCGGGAGAATTTAAAGCCCTGGTAATCAACATGCTCACAGAAGTGATTGAGTTTGGTTGAAAAATGAAAGATACCAAAAATGAAATAAAGCAAAATATTCAGGGAACTAATAATGACAGGAAAGAAACAAGAACTCAAATCAACGATTTGGAACAAAAGGAAGAAATAAACATCCAACCAGAACAGAATGAAGAAGCAAGAATTCAAAACAGTGAGGAGTCTTACAAACCTCTGGGACAACCTGAAATGTTCCAACATCTGAGTCATAGGGGTGCCAGAAGGAGAAGAACAAAAGCAAGAAATTGAAAACTTATTTGAAAAAATAATGAAGGAAAACTTCCCCAATCTGGCAAAGGAAATAGAGTTCCAGGAAGTCCAGGAAGCCCAGAGAGTCCCAAAGAAGTTAGACCCAGGGAAGAACACACCAAGGCACATCATAGTTACATTAGTGAAGATTAAAGATAAAGAGAGAATCTTAAAAGCAGCAAGAGGAAAGGAGACAGTTACTTACAAAGGAGTTCCCATAAGACTATCAGCTGATTTCTCAAAAGAAACCTTACAGGCAAGAAGGGGCTGAAAAGAAGTATTCCAACTCATCAAAGGCAAGGACCTACATCCAAGATTACTCTATCCAGCAAAGCTTTCATTTAGAATGGAAGTGCAGATAAAGTGCTTCCCAGATAAGGTCAAGTTAAAGGAGTTCTAATTATATGAAAGCCCTAATTATATGAAATGTTTAAGGGACTTATCTAAGAATAAGAAGATCAAAACTATGAATAGTAAAATGACAACAAACTCACAATTATTAACAACTAGACCTAAAAAAAAGAAAAAGAAAAAAACAATGAAAACAAATACTAAGCAAACAACTAGAACAGGAACAGAATCTTAGAAATGGAGATCATAGGAAGTATTTCAGTGGGGAGGGGGAGGGGTGGAATAGAGAGGAAAGGTACAGGGAAGAAGAAGCATAACTGGTAGACATAAAATAGATGGGGAGAGGTCAAAAACGGTATAGGAAACAGAACTCAAAGAACTTATATGTACAACCCATGGACATGAACTAAGGGGGGGTGCTGGAGGATCAGGGGGTGCAGGGTGGAGGGGGGATAAAGAAGGAAAAATTGGGAAAGCTGTAATAGCATAATCAATAAAATATACTTTAAAAATGGATTAAAGATTTAAACGTTAGACCCAAAACCATAAAAATTTTAGAAGAAAACATAGGCTGGAACATCTTGGACATTACTTATAGCAATATTTTTGTGATATATCTCCCAGGCAAGGGAAACAAAAGAAAAACTAAACAAATGGGACTACATCAAACTGAAAAGTTTGGCTCAGCAAAAGAAACCATCTACAAAACAAAAAGACAGCCCGCTGATTGGGAGCATATATTTGCTAATACACCTGATAAGGGGCTAATATCCAAAATTTATAAAGAACTTATAAAACTCAACACCAAAAGAAGAAAACCCACCAAAAAAGCCAATTTAAAAAATGGACAAAGGACCTGAATAAACACTTCTCCAAGGAGGACATACAAATGGCCAATAGACATATGGAAAGATGCTCATCAAAGAGATGCAGATTGAAACCACAGTGAGATACCACCTCACACCAGTCAGAGTGGCCATAATAAACAAATCAACAAACAAGTGCTGGCAAGGATGTGGAGAAAAGGGGAACCTGTCTGCACTGTTGGTGGGAATGCAGACTGGTGCAGCCACTGTGGAAAGCAACATGGAGATAGCTGAAAAAAATTAAAAATGGAACTGCCTTTTGACCCAGCAATTTCATTTCTGAGAATTTATCTAAAGAAATCCGAAACACTAATTCAAAAGAATATAAGCATCCTTATGTTCATTGGAAAAAAAATTAATGAACTACTAAGCCATGAAAAGACATGGAGAAACCTTGAATGTATATTGCTTTGTGAAAGAAAACAGTCTGAAAAGTTGCTTATTATATGATTCCAACTCTAGGACATTGGAAAAGGCAAAACTTAAGAGACGGTAAAAAACAAACAGTGATTGCCAGCAGTTCGAGGTTGGGGCGGGCAGATAAATAGGTGGAGCACCGGGTACTTCGTAAGGCATTAAAACTGTTCTGTATCGTACTGTGATGGCAGATGCATGTCATATGCATATTTGTCAAAACCCATAAACCTATGCAACTCAAAGGGTGAATCCTAACCTAAATCATGAACTTTAATTAATAATAATGTGTTACTGTTGGCTCATCAGTTGAAACAAATGTACTACACCAGTGCAAGGTGTTAATAGTGCAGAAAACTATGGCAGGGAGGGAGGCTGTGGGACCACTATCCGCTCAATTTTCTGTAAATCTGAAACTGCTCTAAAAACTGAAGTCTACTAATTTTTTTTAAAGCAGCACTAATCGATGAAGGAAAAGTGGAAATCAAATAATACAGCCACCCATAATCTCAGCAGAAGGACAATCGCCATAAACACGCAGACATAATTCCTTCCAGTCTTTCTTCTAGCCTTTTTTCAAATGTCTATGTATATGGCATTTTTTAAAGGAGTTGAAGTTATTCTGCTAAATTCATTCTAAAAGTTTATGATCTAGTTCAAGTTTGGGTTTTTAACCGCAAAGAAAGTAGCCCCATATAAAAAATCGGTGATACCAAAACCAGATTATTAGAGGGGCTAGTTGCTATGGGAAGGATTGAAAATAAATTTCTTTTCACACTACACCCTGCTAATGTAATGACCAGAAGGAAGAAGAAATATTTGGAGTAACTTAGAAGAGCAGCCAAGAAAAGTTCTAATCAAGAAGGAAAATACATCAGCCCTGTGCGGTTTCAAAGAGGCCAGAGCATCTGTCTGCAATTTCACTAATTACGCCCATCCAACCACCATCTACATGGAGGGGGAAAGCACCCAGGAATCAGGGAGACAAGTGGACTAGCAGACCCTCTCCCTCCTTCACTGGCAGTGTGATGACCAGACAGGCAGCGGGTCTCCCTCAGAATGTGGCTTGTCTGTCTCTGCAGGGCAGTGCAAGGCCAGGAAAAATAAATCACCCCTTCCCTCCCATGAAGATGCTCCAACTATTTAGCAAGCTGCAAGGCCCAGGCTTCAAGTGATCTGTTTGGATTCTGTGTTGGACCTTAGCACTGGAGTGGGACCCCTTCTGCACATGCTGGGTCATGGGGCAGCCTGGAAGGCCTGGGGTTGGAGGGAGTTAGGTGCCAGAGTCATGGGTAGGGGACACTCAGGGAGTTCAGGGGAGTGACTACTTTCTAAAAGAAGAATTTTAATGTATGAAGAAGTGATAAGGCCAGATCGGTGTGTCATACTAACTAAATTCTGACCATTATTCAACCAACATTTTAATGAAATACAAGCCTCAACAGAATTCATGTCAGGGGCAGCCCTGAGGGGGCAAAGCAGAACTGCTACCATGAAAAGACAGCTGGGAGTATGAAGACAGGCCCCGCCTGCCACTCAGAGAACAGCTTGGTTTAGAGTCTCATAGGTCTAGCTGCATTCCCAGCTCTGCCATGTATCACCATGAATTATATAATCTCTGAGCTCCAGTTTCCTCATCTGTAAAATGGGTATAACTGTTCCCTCATGAGGTTATGGTAGGGATCACATGACATCAGCCATATGAGGTGCTAACAAAATACCCAGCATATTGCCGCTCAGTCAAAAGCAGCTGCCATCCCCATCACCATTAGAGGTGACTGTGCTGTGGATCAGTTTTTTTTCTTTTCCTCTTCCTTTTTCCTTATTTTTTAAAAATTTTAACACAGCTGGTGACCTCATCTCCCTTGTGTCCATTCCAATGTAGATGCCTGGTCGCTACTGCCACATAAAGACAGAGCCCCTGAAGTGTGAATTATCAGGCAGTTAACTTTTTTCTACAGCATCCTAGGAATAGCTCTGTACTCTGGAGAGAGAGACTTTTTGATGCTTTACAAACTCAAATCGGAAAGCTACTAAGTCATGGCCAGTCTGGGTCCAGCCTTTCCATTCAAAGCCGGAGGACTGAGGGTGAGGCTGCGCAGCACCCCCAAGGCTGAGGAGACCCGGCTTGAGCAGCAACCCTCCGTCGGCTACCAGCGTTTGACGCTGATTCCCAGTGCTGCAGACTGTACCTGGCTGCTTATTTTCTTTCTTTAAACTTAGTTAATAGATGCACGTTTTTACTTTGAAAAAATTTTTAATAAACCAAATTATAATCAAACCTAGATGTGCCTCCATCCCCCCAAAATGACAATTGTTAACATTTGCTATATTTACATCAAATCCTTTTAAATAATTTTTAAGTATGACAGGTAAAATCAAAGTCTATTTCCTTTGCCCAGAGCTATTTTTGCCCACACACCTAATCACTATTGTGAATTAAGTGTTTATCTATCCAGTTCAGTTTTATTGTCTTACTGAACTGTCTGGTTTTTATAATAGAGAGAAAAGAGAAAGAAACCTGGGAAATGCGCTAAGTGAAAACATCTATGTGAGGAGGGGCTTTTGTGCCCCTGCAGCTGCCCCCAGGCACCCACTGCCCGGCCCCGGGATCGGCACACCACCCCACGTAGAACACTCATGGGTGGTCTTGCAGACCCCCATCTATAGAGACCAGTGCAGACCCTGTAAGGCCATCTGCTGAACTCCCAAGGCTTACCTGGGTCCAGGTGTGTGAAAGAGCCCACCACGAGGTCCAGTGTGGACACGGCCAGCAGGAGCAGCAGCAGCAGCTGCAGGCGGATGATCCATTTGACACCTGCTAGGTTAATCCCCAGCAGGGCCAGAAGCACCGCAACTGAAATTCCTCGCACAGCCCAGATATTCCTGAGGCTCAGCAAACCTGAGATGGATTCAGCGAAGCCAGTGATATACATGGCACCTGCAACACACTGACAGGCAGTTCTCGGTAGGAAGAGTCAGCCAGAGAGACAAGCACCAGGAGCCTGCTGGCAGGGTGGCGGGGCGGGCGCTGAGGACCCTGCTCACCCTTGCCAGCATGGGCCCTGGGGACAGTGAAGGGTTAAAAGAGCCCTTCCACAGGGAACCCTGCCCCGGCCAGCTGTTTCTTCTCACCCACCTCTCCACCATCGTGCAGAGGGGAGAATGAATACCTACCCCCAAGCCTGGAGCCGGCTGATCTGCAGTGGTAACTAAACTGAAGAGATTATGACGAGAAGAAGATGGGGTTCTGGGTCTAAGAGACATCTGAACTTCTCTTTGAGTTACTCAAGAAGTAAACAGAGAACCAAAATGCTCAGGGTTCCGTCTCAGAGTCCCGAAAGGGCACCGAAGCAAACCTAGTTTTCTCCATTTCTTCGTTGGTCATTATTATTTAAAAAATTATCTAAAACTTGGAAATAGAAAATGAGTGGGCAGTACATCCTTTCGATGTTATACGGAACAAAGTCCAGTTTGTACCAAGGACTATCTAGGTGAATGTATTTAGTTCTACTCAGTTTACTATTGATTAGAGATATTAAATGTCCCAGAATTAGTGGTTACATGGTAACTCGCAGACTTTTTTCCCAGTAGAGATGCAAATAACTTCTGTCCAGTGGCAGAGGTAATCCAAAAGATTCAGATTTGCTGTCCTACAGGACATTAATCGGTTTTGTGTCTAACCCAGCAAACTTACGCTCACATTTATTTGTGAAATTGCCTAAATTTTAATGCATGGACTTGCTCCATAGTCACCCAGGACCCATTCCTAGCATCTCAACTGCTCTTGAACATGTTAGTGACTCCTTCATTAATTAAATGAGTTAAATAAAATCTTCAGTACATTTTATTTTATATTTGCCCGAGAGTCATAATTTTATTTTTAAAGAATTTGAAACATGACTTTAAACAAATATTTGAAAATAACATCAGCCAGCCTTATTTCCCAGAATCCCTCAGCTGCCTGTTCTCACCAGGTCCACCTCATCACCACCCCCCTGGCCAGTGGGTCAGTCTCCTCACTGGACACCGGACCTCTGCCCTGGCTGTTCTCAAAGGGAGGAAACTCTAGTCGGGCCTGCATCAGGTTCCTCCTTTCCCATGAAGCCATTATCTGAATAAATATTATGCTTAATACAATCAGTTATCTGGTTCCATATCTGATTATTTAATGTATATACGCTTTCCTCCCCTGCCACCACCAAGAAAGCAAACATCCTAAAAAAACAAAAATGTTTGTGTTGCTTATACCTCTTAAAATACCCTGCGTTTGCTAAGTAAATTGCAAACATTCAATAAATACTTTGTAATATGTTCACTGTATGTGAAGTACTCTGGGAAGCCAGCACCATTAAGTTCCAGCCTTTTCTGTAGAGACCAGAAAGACCATACAATTTCTGTATTTGAAGGGAGCTCACAAAGAAGGCCCCAGTCTTTGCTGAGATTGGTTCATGTTGCAACCAGACATAACATCATTGGCAGTGCTTCCCAAGTTGAAATGAGGCATTTCCTTCTATATGTAGGTAAAGAGGGAAACCCAATAAGTGCGGGGAAAATACAATCAACTCTGAGATGGAGATAGAGATGCAATGAGAAGAGAGGGGATAAGATGAGATGAAACGAAAGTACTATGTTTTCCTGCATTTGTCTCAAACTCAAACTTACTCTTGACTAAATACCAAGGTGTGATGGGGATAGTGATGATGTTTCATCAGCATTTGGGCAGGTCACAGGACTCTTCGTGGTCAGATGTATCAGGGTTTAAATAACAGATGATAAAAATGGGGTAATGACGACTGTTTGTATTGGCACCTACTTCCCAAGCACCCGATGTCTCTGACATGCAGGACGCCGGAACTTCGACACGGCCATTGCGTCTGGAGCTTCCAAACGGACTGTTTCTCTTTCCAACTGGAGAACAGAAGTTGCTCACGTGAAGCAGGCCAAGCAGTAAACTCTGCCTCCTGTTTCCAGGAACTCCAGCGCAGACCCTCTCTTGGGTTTGTACCAGAAATGAGTTTTTGGCTCAAAGATGCCAGTAACAGAAAAGAAGAAAAGGCTTTTGAAGGTGTGTGGAAGAGCACGGTGGTTAGGAGTTTGGACTGTGAAGCCAGACTACTTAAGGCCAAAATATCCTGGGGCTTAGTAAAAGGGAATAGGAAATGAATAAAACAGAAGAAAAATAATAGAAAGAACATAGTGAACAAAAGCTGATCTTTTAAAAGATCAGTAAAAGCCCTGGCTGGTGTGGCTCAGTGGATTGAGTGCCCACCTGCAAGCCAAAGGGTAGCCGGTTCGATTCCTGGTTGTGGTACATGCCTGGGTTGTGGGCTGGATTCCCAACAGGGAACATGTGAGAGGCAACCACACGCTGATGTTTCTGTACCTCTCTTTCTCCTTTCCTTCCCCTCTCTCTAAAAATAAACAAATAAAATCTTTAAAACAAAAAAAATGATTTTTTTAAAAAGCCTGGGTATAAATTGACCTTGTGGGATGCCTATGACATTGTTAAGTTAGAAACTCAGCCATGGAACAGAGCATGAGACTTGTCCCCACTTCCATAAAAACAAGCAGCACTTCAAAAACCCCTAAGTGTATGTAGCTGAGCACAGGGAAGGGTGCCATCAGAGGATCCGAGTGTGAGAGGAACTAACTTTTTCTTTATCTCCAATGTGTTAACTGGTTACAAGGAACATCATTCTCAATTTTAACATAATTTTACAAAGGAAAATACAAACAAACCTATTAAGAGTGCGATTCTGTTTACACAACTACATTAGGCACGAGCAGCACAGCGCCTCCATGTGGAGAAAAGCAGCCCAGGACCCAGGCTCCTCACACCCAGCTCCCCAGCAGCAAACACAGGACTGGCTTGAGCCGGGGCCTCCCCCTGCCAGGGGTGTGGGCAGCGACTGCTGGCCTTCCCCAGAGCAGCCCAGCCACCCCGGAGCTGGTCTGCCTTCCCACCATGAATAGTCCTCTTCATTGGCAAGTGTGCCTGTTGGTTCGTTCAATGGATAAACATCCCCAGAGTTGACTATATATTAAAAGCATTTGTATCTCCTCTTAAAGTTTATAGTCACAGACATTCCTTTTCCATTCTCCATGGAGAGACTTCTAGCCCTCTAGCACAGGAATCAGGGTGGGGGTGGGGTGGGGGGAAGCGGTGGCCACCCACCATTTTAAAGAGAGAGAGTGACATATTTTCTGGGTGTAAAATCTCCCTTTCAAGGTATTTCTTTTAGAAAAACTGTACTCTCACAACCATAGACACTTTTCATCTTTGTGTACCTACCTAGAAGATCAGGGCTGCCCCTCTGCACACCTCCTCTTCTGACACAAAATCCTTGGTTTGAGGTTCAAGTTGGTTGGCTCTAAGTCCTGTATAGGTGTTAACACTCATAACAAGAACCCCAGGCCCATATAAGGACCTTACAAAAGTTCTCCAGTCCTCCGCTGCTTTTGCAGAGAGTCCTGCACAGAGCATGGAAGCCATTAATAAATGCTTTCGACATAACAGTACAGGCTAAAGCTGGGTATTTTGGTGTCCAGGGTAAGCAGCCCCAAAGAAGCCCTCAGATCCACAAAGGTGATTGTAAGGAGTAAGGAGGGGCTTCTGCCCACCATCTCTTCCCTGGGCCAGAGAGTCTGGCCCTACATAGCAGGCCTGCCACCAATGCCTCAGAGAAATGAGGGGCAAGGTTTTGGAGGATGCAGGGCGATGCAAAACTTTTACAAATTTTGAAAATCATTTGAAATTTTTATATCTTCTAAATTTTAACATTCTGGGGGCAAGGGTTGGCAAACTTCACCCCACTGGCCAAATCCTGCTCACTTCCTGTTTTAGGAATAAAGTTTTATTGGAACACAGCTATGCACATTTCTTCATATTGTCTGTGGCAGAATTTGCACTACAAAGCAGATTGAGCAGTTGTGACAGAGACATATGAGTTACAGAAACTAAAATATGTACTAGCTGGCCCCTGTTCTAGGGCAAACAGGCTATCTGCTCTAGCAATCATTAAAAATCAACTATCCCGTGAGCATGTATGCCCTGAGATAAGGGCATGAGGGGTTAATAAGAATTATTATTTCTTTCTCCAAGGTCTGGAAGAAGAGGTCTCAAATCAATGACCTAATCTTCTACCATCAGGAACTAGAAAAAGAGCAAACGAAACCAAGAGCAAGTAGAAAAAGAAGAAAATAATAAAGATTGAAGCAGAAATAAGTGAAATAGAGGCCAAAAAAACCCCATCAAAACCCAAAATTGCTTCTTTGCAGACAAACCTTTAATTGACTGACCAAGCAAATCAGAAAACTCATATGATTAAAATCAGGTATGGCCCTGGCCGGTGCGGCTCAGTGGATTGAGTGCTGGCCTATGAACCAAAGAGTCACCGGTTCAATTCCCAGTCAGCGCACATCCTTGCGTTGCGGGCCAGGTCCCCAATCAGAGAACATACCTGGGGACTGTGCAAGAGGCAACCACATATTGATGTTTCTCTCCCTCTCTTTCTCCCTCCATTCCTCTTTGTCTAATAGATAAATAAATAAAATTTTAAGTAATAATAATAAAAATCAGGTATGAAAGGGAGGACATTACTACCAATCTTACAAAAACAAGAGAACTATAAGGGAATCTATGAATGTGCATGCCGATAAATCAAATAAACTAGATGAAATGGACAAATTCCTAGAAAGATACAAACTACCAATACTGACTCAAGAAGAAAAAGAAAATCAGGATAGACCTAAATAAGTAAAGAGATTGAATTAGTAATCAGACACTTCCTACAAAGAAAAGCCCAGGGCCAGATGGTTTTAACACTAATTCTACCAAATGTTTGAAGAATTAACAATAATCCTTCACAAACTCTTCCAAAAAATAGAAGAGGAAATGCCTCCCAGTTTATTCCATGAAGCCAGCATTGTCCTGATACCAAAACTCAAT